TTCATCATGATCTTTCATTGTTATATTCCTCATCAAGGTACATGTCAACCTTGCTTATGCATACGATCTGTTATATTATTTCTATGCAATTGGGATCAAACGGTTACTCGAACCACCCTTTAAACTTGTCGACAAACCTATTAAAGTCGTTACTGCCATAAATATTTCGGTTAATAAATAAGGCTATCATATTAATTGCGCAAAAAGTCGGTTAACATAGCTCAGATAATAGAGCTATCAAAATATTATCGTACTATACTGGTATAATAACTAAACTATCTCGTATCTGTTAGTCGAGTAAGTGTTCAAAATAATAACTCAAGTTTACTGCTAAAATGAACAAACAAATATTCAACTAACAGATACTTATGGATTATAATTTGTTATGTTCTCAGGCAGCTTGGATCCGTTAGTGCCACATGTTCCTAATATTTCCAAAACACGTATAACAGCAATACTCATTTCCCACTACCTAATCGTCAATCAAAACTACAACACGTCATGCATAATGGCTTCTGGATATTATCATAAGGGATTGACATGACTTGGCAATCACTTAATATGATTGATAAAGTTGGTGACATTAACAAAAACCCGGTCGATAGATTTTCCTATGGTATCATTACATAGCGTTGGTTTCTCATGGTTGTTTTCATGTGTTATGAATGATTTTAGTATATTTCTCTATTGGTTACTCATTCAGTAAACATCCTCAAACTTTGTCAGTCCAACTAGAGGTTTCGCGACGCAATCGCAATCATCAGTATGACCAGTCGAGTAAACCATCTGAAAACTGAAAACATCACTGTCGAATTTACCTAAACACTGACTAAGGTTCAAGCTATTATCAAAAACATGAGTTGGGAGTTGTACTCCTCTTGTTTATAACTAATGCCTCCCTTGATAGACACATGAGCGGCACTCACTGTTTATCATCCTTTCAACATGTATCCAACAAACGTATCGCACGACAACATGTCACCTATGTTTGTGACACAAGCTTTTTCAACTTCAAAAGCTTGTAATCTCTGTATTCCAAATAATTCGACATCTACCTTATGCCAAAGTCGATACTTACAACCAGTTTGCATGCACCATCACCCGGCAAGTACGAATGTAAATAGTCAGTTTATTGCACATCAAAGAAAGTCTGTCACGGATCCACTCATATTTAACTGAGTGGTGTTAGCTATCTGTCCGAAATTCACATGTATTAGTAGTTGTACTAAATCCTATCACGGTTTGGCAATAACAAAGTCAAGAAAATCACCCGGCTACTAAGCAAATCGAAGTCAACTTAAAAACTAACTGGGACACCAGTTGGGATTCATCCCTTACAGTTATACTTCATACTCTCCAGTCAGCCTACTAATGGAAATCAACTCGTACGGATAGCATACCGACATGAACATTAACTGACTTTCTAATTCAAATCAAAGTTAATACCATTATCAGCCTTTCTATAACATTGATCGTATTCCTATGAATAATCACAAAATACCTGTACTGCCAATAAACTAAGCTTCTGATCGACGGTGATTGTTATGCACTATAATATGACCTGTAAGAATGTCCCAATACTAAATCATTGTTCATTATCATGATTCCACCTCGTTTACCTCTTAAATAATCTTCATGTACATTTGCATTTTAGGCATGTCAGGAATTTAACAAAACGTGCCGGAACTATTATGCGTATTTCCTGATCAGTTGCTACCACTTTCTTCTTGATTTATCTTCCTGTTTATCAAATCCCGGAGGATTCACACTGTTGTTTTGATAAACTTCGGCTCGCGACAATCACTACAGTTGGTGTCGAATCGAAGTCACGTTGATTCCCCTGAGATAGTAGTATGGTGGCATTGGTTCGTAATCACACGATCTTCAAAGGTGAGCTTTTAACTTCTGGGAGGATTTACGTTCAACATGAAACACTACGAAAAAGTAAAACATGGTAGACTCTGGAACAATAAGCTAAAATCGCTTAGGTTGTTCATGTAGGCGCGGCCATTCTGCGTAACTACTCGCCGATTGTATCAAGTATCATACTCTTTTCCCAGCTGAAATGCATTCTTCAGAATTGCTAAACATATTTTTGATTGCCACGTAGGACGAGTCGGTATAGATAGTGATGGGATTTCCACGTAAAATCTTATAAATTAAGTGGTTACATCATGACAAATCTGCAGGTTTAGAATTAGGCCTATTTTGCGGTAGTGAAAATAAATGTACTATTATCAGCTTAGGCGTAATTCCGCGAATGAACGCTTACCAAGTTAGATGCTATTATGTTTATTACACTATAAAAATTTTGGTAAGATCCCAGCTTTGAAACTGAGTTTAGGCTGCAATCATTTGTATAATAGGTGCCTCGGTTATTTTGGAAGGCATACAGGGGGAAGCTACCCGTGCAATTCCAGAACTCCGGGGCGCACCAGACAAGGAATGGCTAGAACGACTAGACCTCTTTGCTGCTCTCTACAGCAGATTAAGAGGTGATCTGAAGAGACTGTGTCTACCCCTTAGATTGAGTTCTTTGGAGGAAGACTAGAAACTCTTGAAAGCTTGTTGGTAGAATATTGATATAGACCACAGGCCTCCTGTTCTTAATACACAATTCTTATATCTGAATCTATTAGTACGGAAGGAAATTTGTTTCTCGCAGTCTTTGTCGCCAGTGGTAAGGATGGAAGGTCCATTGACCTTCATTCATTCTTGCAATTTGTGGCACTGTAATGTCCCAATGTCACTATGAATCTAATTACGGACTGTGTTGATACTAAGTGTTCTGGTAGAGAATTCCATTTATTTACTATTCGGTGTGAGCAACAGAACTCCAGACATAGACGGTTTGGTCACGATTTTTGAACTCTCTCAGAATGTCCTCTCAGGTGATTAGTCAAAGATCGAAAGAAAAGAAAAGATGTATTAATACTAAGACTATCGTTCTGTACACGTTATCGCAGTGTTAGATCGTAGCCTGAGGTAAGATACTGGAAATGGGCGATAACATCTCAGTTTGTCATCATAGGCCACAGAAACATTTTAACATTTTAACCCCTCGTCGTTAGGCTCGTCCTGACATATCCGCCCCAAACTCGAAGAAGGGACTCGGTGGTTTAATCCTATATTCCAAATGCGGTCTCGCGAAAGTCCGGTACAATATACTAAATATTTCTTCATTCAAGTAATCATCCTGTACTACTATTCCATCTGAGATTCTGTGTATGGGTCTCCAAACACTTATGTCATCACAAAGAGCAGAACGGATGACTTTGCCGAAGATGGTTATTCATTCACATAAAGTAAAACGGAAGAAGACTAAGAACAGTACATAGGAGAACTCTAGCGCCCAAAGGTTACCACTATGAGAGTGCTCCATTTACACTTACTGGCTGTCTCCTATCATTGAGAAAGTCACTTATCCAGTTTTTGGTCTCATAATGGATTCCAAAACTTTCCACTTTTCATATAAAACCTGAACAAGAGTCTTTGTCAAAAACTTCAATTAGACCCGTGAAAATTACATCTACAGGAATTATCAGCTTAGGGTTGTGGAGATTGTTTTTGATTGAGATCATGGATTGGTTGAAGTTAGACATTAACACTGTTGGATGCCAACACAGTGGTCTAGAGGTTAAGCTTTCATGCGTGAGGTTGAATGCCACACACGGGATTCGAACCGTGTGTGGTATCGTGGATGCGCATTGCTGACGAGCCCGATACTGAGACGAAACTGTGTTCAGTACTTCCGGGTTTTTAATGGCAGGTTTAGTATCAATCGGTTCATGACATCGATCAAAATCTACGGAAACATTTCTATCTTTTGTTGTGGCTCGATCTTCTCGTTCAGCGAGCAGATTTGTCAACACGAAAGGCTTTAACGAAAATCAGGCTTTTCCCTGAAAAAGAGATTGTGCCCTTCCACATAATTTGAATGAAGCATCCGAGTGATCTTTTCCGTCAGTTTCGCAACTGCGTTGGCTATAATAATGGGACGATAGTTACCAACTATATGTCCACTCTCTATCTAACACAACGGAGTGATTATTGCTCACGTCCAGTATCTTGACAATCCGGACTGCCGCAGAGGTTGCATATTTCTTAGTTGTGTTTGTCAGTGACAAACCTTGATTGGGGGTGAATAAATGTAGGGATTATAAATGTTGGCTGGACTGCTGAACGAATTTAACTCTTGATTTTACTATTTTTATATTTAGTTCGGCAAACAGATATTCAAACAAACATGTGTTCAATATATATATATATATATATAACTATCATTTTGAATAACCCCAATAAAGTTAATAGAACTAACAAGGATATTTTGTAAAGTATAAAATATGATTAAGAAGTTTAGGATAATTCACTTGTCATCAGGTTTTTCTGGCTTCATATCTACTCAGAATATGATAAATTTACATACCACTGTATTGTAATCCAGCTCTCGTCACAAGAACAAAAACTATTTAAGTTATATACTTTAGGTTAAAGATCCATGTCTGTATATCAAAGTAGAAACATAACTTCTTCGAGTCATATATAATCATAAAATTATGACAACTGTTTCCATGGTAGACATCTAACTATTACCTATCAAATCTTGAAAATTTTAACAACCGTACATTTTTTGTTATTTCATGTGCATGAGGACTGCTAAAATCGTTTGACTCATCAAGGAAAGTGCCGCAGTATTCAGGGTTCGACAACATTTTTGTCCGTAACACCTTAATGACTGAGAGTTACCATCTTATTGGCTTGACCATGTTGTGGTCATCCGGGTAGTATGACGTTTGGTGGCAGGTGGTCTCGCCTGACAGGTCTAACTATTAAACATGGTAGCTATTCCGGATTGCCATTTTCTGTTCCAATATTCGGCTCTCTTGTCTACTATGTTTACCTACATAATGGAGGTGAACGAACTGTCTACAATCATGTTTTGACAGCCAAAAGGTTCCTGAGAGCTGTTTATACTGGGACTCTTATATCTATGGATTATAAGTGGACTATGACCATAGTCCCACATGCAAGGTTCTAAACATTATCATGATGAATTGGCTAAATGCCATCAAAGAGCTGTGGACAGGATATTACAAGGATGTCTTTCTAATGGAGGTTTATATATCAAGATGGGACAGGGTTTAGCTAGTATGAACCATGTCTTACCTGTGCAGTACACAGAAACATTAGAAAAATTGCATGATCAAGCACTTGTACGTTCAGGGGATGAGATACATCGTATATTCATGGAAGACTTTGGAAAACCACCTACTGAACTGTTTGCCAGTTTTGAATATAAACCATTGGCTGGAGCTAGTTTAGCTCAAGTTCACCGTGCTGTTACACATTATGGTGAACAAGTTGCAGTGAAGGTTCAGTATGAAGATTTACGCGATCGATTTGATGGTGACATGGCAACTCTTGAGTTACTTTTAAAATTAATTGGAAAAATGCATCCTAATTTTGGGTTTGTTTGGGTTTTACAAGATATGCGCGAAACATTAGCCAAAGAACTTGATTTTGAAAATGAAGCAGATAATTCTGTTCAATGTTCTACCGATTTATCAGATCTTGGAACTTTAAATAAAAATGGCTCTGTTCATGTACCTTGGGTTGATCGTAAACTTACTAGTAAACGTGTTCTTACTGCTGAATTCATCGATGGTATTAAAATTAATCAAGTATCTGCTCTACGTGATGCTGGTTTCTCTTTAGCTGAATTAGATAGTCTGTTAGTACGTGCATTTAGTCATCAAGTATTTTGTACCGGTTTTGTACATGCTGATCCTCATCCAGGCAATTTGTTGGTACGACGTAAACCTCAGATTAAATTAAATGTTTCCAGAAAATCAAATCATCCATTCACTTTATACCATACATCATATCTAGTGCAATATTATGGATTGGGTTTTTGTGTTATTTTCCTATTAGTATTGCACAGAAATTTAAAAATCCCAACCATAAACTAATTGCATATCCAAATACAAGTCGAAATACTACTGAAATTCAGTTAGTACTTTTAGATCATGGTCTATATGATACGTTACCATGTGATAAGCGTAAAGCTCTGTGTAGAATGTATCAAGCTATATTAAACTCTAATGAGTCAACAATGAAAGAGGCTTCTTCATTTTTGGGCGTTGAAGATTGGTCTACTTTTGGAGAAGTTATTCTACAAAGACCTTGGCGTCGTCAAACCTTCAAGTTACCATCTCAACTTTCGGCAGCTGATAAGGCTTATATACGAGCTACAGCAATCGAACATTTCGATCGAGTCATGTCAGTTCTTGAACAGATGCCACGTTCAATGCTTCTGTTTATTAGGAATTTAAATCTTATTCGTTCTATATGTCGTTCTCATGGTGATCCAATTGATCGTCACTCTTTAATGATAGATAGTGCTATTCTTGGTAGTAGAATTACAACATCATATTCTGGAAAGTTAATTCCTCTGTCATGGATTGATAGATTAGTGGTGAATATAACACTTCAACGATATCACTGGAAATTAAAATATGAAACATTATATTTATGGATTCAAGGTTTGGTCTATCAATTATTATACGCTGTAGGTCAAGTACCTGATATCAATGAATTATCATCATTGTATAATGTTGCTACTCCCAAAGCGTTATCAGCTAACGTTTAACTCCTAATCCGATCAAACGCACACACACAGAGAGAAGAAGAGAACGCAATTCAGTTGGAAAAAAGAAATAATCACATTGATTTTTGTTTCATTATTTTTAATCTCTTATTTCTTCCTATTTATTTTGTTCTTAACCTTGTATCATTTGTAGACATCAATACTAAGGTCGGACTTGATAACTTCAAATAAATTGAGCATTAGATAAAAGGTTAATAATAAATATATTTTTTATTATATCTCAATCAGTAGAAAAATTGTATTTCTAATGTTTCGTCACTTAATGTAAGCCACTTCTTCGGTTATTTATTTGCTTTGAAGAAGTGGCTTATATTAAATCACGAAACGTCGGTAACATAATTTTCTACTCATTGGGATCTAGCTTGTGTTATTTGTTTACTTTCTATCTCTGGTGTTTTTTTCTTTCGATGCTTTCTGTTTTGCTGTTAGCAACTTGTCTCAATTGTTGGTGTGTGTGTTCATCATTTACACATAGAATTTCTGTAAATATCTTTCCATTGAACAGATGTAGATCAGTAGGAAAAACATATAATTTCATACTAACTAATTATATGGGACCATTTTTCTGCTTAAATAATGCTCTGTACTTATGCATAATACTATTTTCATTTAGATTTACTGAGAACTTCGGCAAGACTATGATTTATGAACGAACTAATTAGGTATAAGATAACAGGTCTCGGATTTCGGTGCGAAATTCACTCATCCATTTGATTAAATAGAGTTTTGGCATTATAGATGATGTCAGTTCGTGATGAAAACACTAAATCTAATTCCTAACCCTAACCATCAAAAGACAGAATGGAGTTCAGCATTGTAGTTGAAAGTTAATAATATGTTGTAAAGAGTTCGGTCTAGGCCGTGTAGTTGTTGCAAGGGATACGTAGCATGGAGTACCCATTAGTGATTTAGTGTTAATGCTTGACGGAATAGTTTCAACGTTTGCTGGACGAAACGTTGAAATTATTTAAATTTCAATCGCTGGGATTATTTCAGACGTAATTTTCACATACAATGATTTTTCTAAAATCAGCGCCCAATTTTCGTCAAACTACTAGTCCTAATATTGACGAATATTCGTTTAACTTCAAACAGGTTGTTAGGTAGTTCAATTTTCCCATTGTAATATTATCTTTCACCTTCGATTTGCAAATAGTTTATTTCTACTGTATGAGCAGATGGATGAGACCACTAGTGGTAGGGGCTTCTGCATACACCGTCTGCGAACGGTAAGAGGGAGAGATAATGAATAAACATTTTGGTCCTTCACTTATTAATGTATGATTATCGGACATCTGAGACCGAACAATATTGGTAAGTGAACTACCTGTTAAGTTGTAGCGGTAAATAAATCCTAAAAAAATAGCTCCGTAAGTCTTCGACAATGGATGTTGACTACATTAGTTTGATGGACTCAGATTGCTGTGGCATCCTTATTGGTGAGCGTAACGTGATCTGGTACACCAAAATGTAAACTGTGAGTCTGTTTCTTTTTCGGAGTTCTGTATATCGTTGCTTGGTTTTAATTTTTTATACATTGTGATATTTTTCCCGTGTTTTTGATACATATATATGTATATTTATCACTCGTTCGTTCTCGTACTTCATATTTCACCATGACGGAACAGACAACCAAGGTACTTAAGTTAAAGACTATGTCCCCAACTTCGTTTCAACTAATGCCCTTCTGGCAAGACAACATCGAAGTCTGGTTCTGCCATGCAGAAGCCGACTTCTACGAGCACGGCGTGAACGACACACGTGCGAAATTCCTCACAGTAGTCAAGGCAATATCGCGCGAATTCAACAGGTACGTGACACCTAGCATGTTTACTAGTGATGTTTCGGAACCCTACGAAACACTGAAACGATCTATTCTTAAATGCGGAGACCTAACCGATATGCAAAGCTTAGACCAACTCCTTAATAACATCGACCTGCAACACGGTGTTGCGACAGACATGTTGCGAAGAATGAGAGAGATCATCGTTCAAAGGACCTTCGATGACGACCTATTCGGACAACTTTACTCATCCAAACTTCCTCAACAGGTGCAAGCCCTGCTGGCCTCGTTACAAAATCAACGCCGTAGACGAGCTGACTGCATTTGCCGACCGCAGCTTAAAAATCACCAAATCTTCCAATGCCGAGGTTTTTCAGTCAAAGAAAAACGTCAAACGACCCAGTATAACATAACGATCACACACCCCACGAAGAAGCACTTCACGTAAGCGATCTGTCTCTAGACCACGAGAGACGGATAACCCCGACTGGTGCTGGTATCATAACCAGTATGGAAAGTCTTCCAGAAATTACAGAAAACCCTGAAATTTTCCCCTCTCAAAACCGACCGACTCGAAAAACAACTCGGGAAACTTCCAAGCCGGTAAGCGTTAACGGCAACCGTAGCCGGCGAACATAGCCGTCTGTTGTACGTCACAGATGTGACAACGAGAGTTCGCTACCTCGTCGACACTGGCGCAGAAGTCAGCGTTCTCCCAGCGAATTCCAACGGCCGACTTCACGAATCGACCTTAAACTTACAGGCGGCAAACGGAAAACCGATCGCTACGTTTGGCAAAAGGTACGTTTATCTTAACGTGGGTTTACGCAAACCCACTCACTGGATCTTCGTTGTTGCAGATGTTTCTATTCCAGTCATTGGTATGGACCTTCTACAACACAATAATCTAATCATCGATACTCGCAAACGAAGGCTAGTAGACGAAAACACTAATTTATCCGATTGCGTAACTTCTTTTACTGGTCACAGATTATCCCCAGTCACAATTAAACATACGATAGATCCACTTTATCAACCGCTACTCGATAAGTATCCTGGGATACAAAAAACTCAACCAAAACTACAGTGTGTAACCAACAACGTTACACATCACATCACAACCACAGGACCACCTGTATTCTCTACAGCACGACGACTATACCCTGAAAAGCCAAGATTGGCGAAAAACGAGTTCGCCCATATGATAGACTTAGGAATCATACGACCGTCAAGTAGCCTATATGCATCTCCGTTGCACATGGTCTCTAAAAAGGACAGCAACGATTGGCATCCAACTGGTGACTATCGGCGATTGAGTGCAAAAACCATTCCCGATCGTTACCCGTTGCCTCACATTCACGATTTGACAGCTACCTTGAAAGGTACAACTGTCTTTTCGAAAATCGACTTGGTTAAAGCGCATAACCAAATTTCCATGGCCACTGACGATATTCCAAAAACCACAATTATAACTTCCTTCTGAGTTTGACACCTAGCCGAAGAAATGCAACATTTGGATCTTGTTTTCGAATGACTACAAATACTTGGCATTACTGTAAACACTCAGAAATGCCAAATCGGAACCGACTCATTAGACTTCCTAGAACACACTATTGATGCGCAAAGCATGTGATGCGAAATTCATCGGGTTGGACGAAATCGCGGAGAAAGCATTTTCCACAGGTAAGGAACCTATCGCTAAGGCAACGATGCTGGCACATCAGTACACTCGAGCACCTATTAGTATTGCAGTAGACGCAACCAACTCGGCAATCGAAGGAGTCTTACAACAATGGGTTAACAACTCCTGTCAAGTTTTGGCATTGTTCTCTAGACGGCTGCTAGATACTGAATCGAGGCACAGGACATTCGGTCGGAACACCTAGCTATGTATTGTGCTGTACGACATTTCCAACACTCGATTGAGGGCCGAGAATTCACACTTTTCATTGACTACTAACCTCTTAACTTCTCTTGAAACTCATTTTCAGACAAGTACTCACCACGTGAGTCTCGACAACTGGACTACATTTCGCAGTTCACTTCGGATATTCAACACGTTTCTGGAGCAAACAATGTAGTCTCAGACGCCTTGTCTCGCACAACTTCCTTGATCAGTTTCCAAGAAATCGACCTTCTTAAACTCGCCGAGCTTCAAAAAGAAGACACTGATCTTCAGCACGAGTAATAGTCTACAACCCTTAAACTATGCATCAAACAGATGGGAACAGGTAAGGAAACCTTACTGTGTGACACATCTACAGGTAGGGATCGCCCAATCGTGCCGAAACGTTATCGACGCAACGTCTGAGATACGTTTCAATTAAACCTGCTTCCACTCGACCACAAGCCACCGATGTTTTCGTCCAACCTGACTTACACACGTCTTTGTTCGTCGAGACTCACATCGACGACCTCTCGAATCAGCGTACGATGGACCCTTCAAAGCTATTCAACGCGAACCGAAGTACTATATAATCGATAAGAATGGAACAAACGATAGCATCAGCATCGATCGCCTCAAAGCAGCGTATTTAGAAGGAAATTCTATTCACGTCGACTTTCCTTCGGTACAATCGCACAACACGACTCCTACACTCATAATTCCTCAATCGACAACCAACACTACCGATGATACTCCGAATGCATCTGAAAATAGACTTAAAACAACGCGTTCTGGAAGAAGAGTAAGATTTTCAGAACATTTAAACGATTATTGCACTTATGACACTAGTTGACATTTTATGTCATCTCGATTTTCCTTTCTACTATATATAATTAAAAAACAATTTTATTATGCTCATATATTTTTATTTCGAAAAAAACAAAGCAAAACAAAAAAACATACTATATGAAACTTTTTTCTAAGCTATTACGTATGCATGAGTTTGTAACAGCTTAGGTTGGTTGGTTAAGAGTCGACCCCAAACGACCAAGCATATGCCAAAACAGTATTGTTCAAGTATTCATTCACTTCCTTATTTTTTATAAGCGTTATATTCCCTATTATCTTATATTGAATGTTGAGAGCTTTTGTTTGTCTGAACAGATAATCCCACGCTCCACTGTGACTGCTCAAAGATCGAAATAAAGACCTATTCACTACTTGTCTGGTTTCTTCTGTCAATAGCACGAGGGTTACCTTAAGGCACGAAAGTGGTGAGCCCGACGTGATTAGCTTTTATCCTGCAGCCGAAAC